TATGTACATACATACACATATCGGTTATCTATTTTAAATAAATTTCAATATTTGTTTTTTATTGCAAAAATATGACCAAGTTTTACTGAAATTAATTTATTTAAAAAAATACATACTTGATTGAAGATCTGTTATATTAACTAAATTTAAAAAAAATGTTAGCAATATTATTTTTAATAAATATTATCATATCATTTAAAACAATAATGAAATAATTTTTTTTTATTACTCATAAATCCCAATTTTTAAGCAGCTTAATTTAACTAGTTTTAATAACATTACTTATATTTTAATTTTTGAAAAAAAAAAAACGAACACCCCTAATAAAAAGCTTTTCATAAAAATAGTTGCAATCTACACTTGAGCTTTGCCAAAAACCATAAAATAAGCTTTTTCTGTAACAACACTCACTGACCGTGAGTGATTCGCGTCCACACTTAGTGAACGAAAGACTTAAGCGACAACCCTGCTTTAAGCAAAACAAATGAAAAGCTGTCATTGACCAACATCCAGCTGGAGTAAAAGCAACAACACCCACAGTTTCAATAGCAAAACATTTTCCTGCAGATTTTGCATCAAGATATATATGGATATGCGTGTGTATGTGAGTGTGTAAAAATACTTTATGCAAATTACTGTGTTCATCTGCCGCCGTTTCCTTGTTGGCACTGCAGGTTTTACAGGTAATTTTGAACACATTTGCTTCCTTTTGCGAGGCAAAAGCTATTGACAGCAAAAACAAAATATTGAAATGCATTGTATGGTTCGCGAACAGGCTCTCTTGACTGGGTTTGGCACGGAAACATACTTACTCATACTTAGGCCTTTTTCGATTATATATTTGCACTAGAAGCCATGTGACCTACAGAGTTAATTATAGTTGGCGTATGCGATATTAGTAATTTATTCAAGGAAAAAATATAATAAAAAAATAAAATAACATAATAGACTTTTTTTTTAATTTAATTTGATAATTAAGTTAAAATTTACAATTTTTTAAAATTTAATTTTTATTGAAATTCTATTTTCCTCTTGAAAATTAAGTAAAAAAACTTAAAATGTTTTAATTTAAATTTTTATTGAATATTTTTCTTACTTTTTAAAATTAAAGTTTTCGTTAAAAATTTTGAATTAATATAAACTTTTTTAAGTTTTAATAATGTTAATAATTTTTTTTTTTTCAAAATTAAACTTTTCCATAATCAAAGAGTTTTAAATTTGTTAAATTTTTTTTAATTTGCAAATTTTAATTAATTATTATTTTGAATTTTGAAAATTTTACTCTTTCTTGAAAACTAAACTTTTTTAAGCTTCCAAAACTCTAATTAATTTTTTTTTTTAATTTTGAAAATTAAACTTTTCTATAATCAAAGAATTTGTTAAACCAGAGATTTTAAGGAAATTCCTTAAGCAAAATATAAATTAATGAAAAATTAATTTTTTTTAAGTTCAGAAAATTGTAATTAATTTGTTTTTTTAATTTTGAAAATTATA